AAAAAGTATAGTATTAAAACCGTATTTTAGGAAGCTGCTGAAAATTATAAAAACTTCATTTTTCCACAAAACATACTTCTTGCGCAGTCTGTGCCAGTACAATATTTTCCTAGACTACTGTTACGCAGTTTTCTTTTACCACTTTTAGTACATTTTAAATTTTAATTTGGTAAGTTTTGAGTCCAAGTCGCTGCAAGAGGCCCAAGCCATTTCAATATTTACTGTAGAAAAGGGGCCAGCTTTTTATTTTTGTCTTCTGGGGAAGTTTATGGTAGAGTGAGATAAACATCCAAAATAGTTAAGGTTGTTTATCCTGCATCACTTAGAAGACATTCTTGACATCGTTTGTATACAACTGAGCAGGGGAGCTGCTCAATCAGTCTGACATAAATTAAACCCAGATCTCCCAGCCTTAGGGCATACAGACCTTACTACAGTGTGATAAATTCTACTGCTGTCGGGATGAAACCTGAACTGCTCTTTCAGTTCCTCCTGTTGCAAGCCAAATTTTTGTGCAGAAGGGCTTCTCTTCTACTTTTATTCCTTTCAGAAATACAGTCATTATTTCAGGGCACTTTACCTCACACTGACATCTCTGTATCATCTTGGGGCTATCAAGAGGGAATGAACACTGCAGAAGGATCTGGTGCCGTGCTTGTCTGGCATAATGACTTTGCTATTGACCCAAAGTCTGGAAGTCCTAGACTTACAGAGCAGGGACCCTTGAAGCTGTCAGCAAGTAATTCAAGGTGATACAGAAATTTCAGAATTTTTTCCTGTTCTTATTTGAGTCTCCAGTTTAGTGATGCCTAGAAAGCCACTCCATGCATGCTGAACATGAAGGGTTTGGACAGGCACTTCCCAGAAACAAATGCTTGTGCCAGACTTTCCTTTGACTAGGAGAAAAGCTAAGCAGAGCTTCTGGCTGCATTGCTTAGTGGTGCTGAAATCCACTCTGTCCTTTATCTGTGTAGCATGTGCAAAGATTTGTTTGTGCATGTAAACTCTCCTTTAATTATTTTTTTATTATAAAGAATGTTTACTACATGCATGAGCAGCTTGGTGTACCCTTTAAATCTGATCTAAACCTATTCTGCAGCAACAAAGCCTGTTAACAGTGTGCCTTTTCTTTCCTCTGATTCTGACCTCGTGCATATCCAAGCTTAAGCCACTCATTGCAATAGAAATATTTGTGATTATCAGTGCCGGATGAGTTCTTTGCTGATAGATATACCAGTAACAAATGGGCTGAGGAACTCACTAACTCATATTTGAGTCAAGGAAGGCTTGAGGATGATTCACTCAGGAATGCTTTGTTCTACCCTAATTGCATAATTACTTTAGAGGTCTCACTGGCCATTTGGCATAGAGGTCATTCCTGTTTCCTTTGAGCACAGGAATAACTCCTCCTAGCTTCTCACTTCTAGCAAGCAGGACAAAAAGAGATGTGACAAAGACAGACGGCTATGGCACCACTTCTCTGTGTAATTCAGGTGCAATATTTGTACACAGCTACTAAGTACTTCAATCTTTGAAGTGAGGTTGGAAAAATGAGCAGTGATAAACATAAAGAAATACTGGCACCGTTGCACTGGGACAGTGTCTGTATTGAAAGGAGTAGTGTGATATTCTGAAGTATTTGGTACAGGTACTGTGGCTTCTGAGTTCTAACAATGGGGATCAAAAGAAGTGAGGAGAAGGTTACAAGCACAGGAGCCTTCCCCACTGTATTCACATGCTGTAGAATTAGACTAACTGCTAACTGTGAAAGAGAACAGAGATTGCTCAATATCTACTTCTCAAAAGCAATAAATAAATAATAATAATAATAATAATAATAATAATAATAATATGGACACTGTAGACAACTGCAACCATATAAAGCAGCTGACAAAATAAGCGAAGGGACCAAAATGTTCCATGAGAAAAGTGGATAAATGCATTTGCAATTTACGTAAACAGAATGAAAGAAAGATTTTGATGGAGAATTATCCTGGACATCTGACAATGTCAGCAGTGCTGTTTTCAGAGATTGCCCCATTTGTGGAACTGGTGAAGTCTGTGGGTGGAAAATAAAGGTCTATACAAATGAATGATATAAATAGCTGTGGAGGAGATAGGTAAGTATAGCTATCTTTGGCCCCCCAACACTCCTTCATTCTGGAGAATGCATGGAATTGGTGGTATCTCTCCTTAACCCTTTTATTAATGTTACAAAACAGTAAATTTGAAAGCTAAAGTTCTCCCTTTGCAGATCAGTAACGGTATCACCATGTTGTCAAGTTTTCATTCTTCTCTCATATTTGAAGTTATTATCATATGAAGTTATTATCCATCTTTCTTTGCATACTGGTGTATCTTCCACTCAAAGTAACTCAAGCACATCTTCTATCCTCATTACAGTCCACTGTCAATATCACCTAATATGTAACTAGGCAGATACACTCCCCTTTTGCTGGGTTTGTGAATGAAAATACTTGTAGTTGCTGTATTTTGTACTGTTACTAATGATGTACAGGTATGTTTTGACATGCGCACAGGATGTCTCCCTGATTGGCCCTCCAAGAATTGCTGATGAATATGAAGCCAAGTGGTCTGAAGTGTTGTTACTTTATTAGTGTAAATTCTGGTGTCCATGGGTTTCTCAGCTGCATACTTTTGTTGGCATGAATGTTTAAGTCACTGATTTATTTTGAGGTTCATGATAGGTACCTAAATATTTCCTTTTTTCCTTTTTTTTTTTTTTTTTTTAAATCTTCTTTAAATAGTAGGAAGCAGAACAGTTTAATGCCGACAGAGGATGCATTAGCTTCCCCTTCTGTGAGAAACCTCTGCTTAGAGAGTTCCCAAACTGAAAGTGTTTTCAAGAGAAAACATAACTGGAAGAATCTCACATCAAAGCCTGGGCCTGCTAAGTGGAGTTGTTCTTCTGATATGAGTGGAACATTGCTCCAAAGTTAGAGATATGTAGTGGGGAGATGAAAAATTTTGATACTTAAACTGGGAAAGAACCGATGGGTGGCTTCTCAAATAAAAGGCTAAAATTCAAGGCTGGTTTTGTTCTTACAGATCCGTATCTGAAGTATAGACTTCATTAGAAATACATCCAACTAAAACCAACAGGCTTTGGGTCCTAACTGTTTTTGTTATCAAACAAAAAATGGACAGCACCTCTATTTGCTGCATGATTTTTCAAATGATTCTGCTGCAGTTGAGGAACTCCATGCTATAGTTTGAGTGGCTGCCCTGGGGATCAAGGAACAGAGTCTACAGAAAAGCTTCTTGCATTAGGATGGCAGCAGGCAAAACTATACAGAAAATGCAGTCCAGGAAAGACTTCTTTGAAGATGAAGTAGGGATTAAATGAGAGCCTATTTTACCATTTGCTAAAATACCCAGTGCATTTGCCTTCGTGGACTCTGCATTCCATTGGACTGCATGCTGGGTTAATAAAATCCCCCTCCTGAACAGCCTTTGGAAACTCAAATGGTCACCGACTGCTCATATGGCAGAATTTGGCTATGCTGTTAGACAGCTGCAGGAAGCCAAGGACAAGAAAGTGGGGACAGCACCAAAATGTTGTGAACATATACATATACAGAGAGAGAGACACGGCTTTGCTTTTCAACAGGAGGTTCCAAAATATGTTTCTCATCAGAATGCCAGCATCCTCTTTCCTTTTTTTTCTTTCAGGAAGAATAATTTTCACTTCTGCTTTTCTTAAGTGATACTTATGTGATTTAAATTCTCAAACACTCTGGGCTTAAGTTTCAAAGGCATTCTGAAACAATGAGCACACCTACCAGAAACACTGCAAAACACCACATTTCCATTGCTTGCAGACTTAAAGGAGGCTCAGTTTAGCATTCTTCCTTGGGGAAGAAATGACATGTTCCCCACTAACTCAATGCCAAACCACTGCTTTCTGATTTGAGTAACAAATGCCATTCTGTCTGCTTCTAAAAGCCCAGACTCTGTTTCTTTTCTTAACATGAAATTGTGTGTTTTGGTACTGCTCTCAAACAACAGTTTAACAGAACAAAGGACTTATCTTTATGAGACAGCCAGGGAAATACACAAAGAACAGGAAGATGCAGCTAACCTAAATAATGACAATGAAAATAAAATAGCCATCGGGCTATAAATAAGCAGCATGAAGTAAATATCATTATTTTTGTTAACAGGAGACATAAACTTAAGCCCTGGAGACACGTCTATTTTTTTCTCAGATTTCAGTTCTGGTTTCTTTCAGTCTTGTCACTGAATAAAGTTTTCTACTTTCTTCAGCTTTTTACAGTATGAACTTCCACATCATTTCTACTGGAGCAAACTGCACAGAACAACCACTTATGTTTAGGAGAAAGGTCAGACTTGGGGCAATAATGTTGCCCAAACTCTTACTTCAACTGTACAAATGCTTGCACTCATACAGAGAAGGGAAGCATACACACAAAATAAAGTTAATTAAGACAATACATAGTTTCCTGCAACACAAAGGAATTTTCTTATTTAGACTAGGTCTCTAATGATGCAGTCTCCCATTGTGTGTATGGGGGTTTGCAAAGCAGCAACTGCAGCCCCACATAAAGGCGTGAGCTGGAGCTGGTGAGTGAATAAGGAAGGAATCAAATAATCACCTAAGCCAAACCAGGATCAATTTTCTGGGACCCAGCCTCAGTCACTGCAGCCTCCTAGCTTTCCTAAAGGACCTGAGTAGATGCCTGGCTCACGTGCCAGTCTTGGGATTCCCAGGCGGGAAACTGGCTCAATCTGTCACTTCCACTGTTTAAAGCAAGCACTTGAATTTTCCACTTCCAGCCATGACCAGCAGTGCTGGGCTGAATCACTTCCCCGTCTGGAGGCAAGCAATGTGTGAGAGCAAAGTGCCAACCAAGTGGCCAAGCAGTGCTCTTGGGCTGCCTCTGCGCAATCAGTAGAGCCCGCAGCCCACCTGGGTACCACGTCAGGCCACTGCACCACTCCCGACCCTCGGCCTTTACCTGCTGCCAGGCGAGCGGCTAGAGGGGACGTCCTGCACGAAGCTCTGCTCCATACCCGGGATCCTGGCGGGGCTGTGGGGGTGGTAGGCTGTCAGGACCACGCTGCCCGAGTCCTTCATCTCCATGGTCATAGGTTCATGTCGGTGACAAAGGCGGCTGGTGAGGGCTCCTGTCAGGAAAGCAGCGTGTGCCCTGACCCCACTACTGCCTCTCACCACTGCTTGCTGTCAGGAGAGCGGAGTAGCCTGGCCGAGCAAGTCTCCCTGTCAGGAAAGCTGAATTAGCATATATTCAAAAACACCGCCCACAAAACAACCCACGGGGAAGTTACTGCGTCCCTAGGAAACCAGAAACCTGAGATAATCCTAACACTGCTCTGTGCGAGCGGAGTGTGGGGGGGGGAGCTTCTTGCTTTGTTCCTTTTTGTTTCAGAACTCATTTCTTAATATGCCTCGTGCTCCCAAAATAGGCATGGAGAAAGGAAGTTATTTGAGTGGCGAGTGTTACTCAAACATAAAACATGGTTTGCCAGGACTGGCATTAGAACCACAAACACGAGAGGCTCGTGAGCGCTCTATTTAAATAATCACAAAAGAGTAACCTTGATTTCCTATATGGCAGATAATTCCTGTAGCAGGGGACTGCATTTGCGTTCTGAACAACAACGAAGCTCTCATTTTTGCCTGAATACCGCTGTGTGCGTAATTAGAAGGGCATCGGGAAATGAGAGAATCTGTTTTACAATAGCTTGTGTTCATCTGGAGCAAGTCCATAAATAAATACACTCTAAGACTCTTGGTGGGTTTTTTTTCAGGCTTACTTGTGATCTTTGAAATGATAATTAAATGTTTTTGTATGAAAGGAAACAAACAAACAAAAATATCAGGGGACAGGAATTAACACCCAGAAAGAACGGTGTAGATAAAATGAGGAAACTTACACAGCCCTTTATTTTCCCAGCTTGCTTCTTTAGTGTTTTTTTTTTTTCTTGTTTTTTTTTTTTTTTTTTTTAAATAAAAGTCTGTTCCTGAAAAGTATTGTCCTGCTTACAAAGCCATAGGAAGGATGCTCCTAATTTTACTCTAGAACTCCACATACTGCTTTACAGCCAAAGCTCTTAGGGCAGCTTGTGAGGATGTGGGTGAGACAACAGCCCCACAGCTGCGAATGGCATCCCCAGCACACATACAGTGCAAAACACCAGCTGGGGTCTTCTTTCACGCCTCCACTTATGAAGGGGTGCACTGCTGAAAAGCTACCCAGATTTCACTAGCAGTCTCTCCAGATGGTAAGGTAAAGTAGACAGATTTTGAAAGGCACAAAAATGATTCATCTCACCTCCACCTTCCCCATGTGCTTTTTATCCTATCTGGAGGAGCATGACGGTTTTGGTAAAATAGACTGCCACAATTCATGTAGGCAGTGCCCAAGTTAATTTTCAATTAGCCAGCACAGGACACTGATAGCAGTATGCTTGGCAGCATTTCTTGCCAGACTCACCCAGGAAGCATAAATATTTGAACATTCAGAGCCTCTAGGCTTGCTCTTGCTGCACTGTTAATGTGTCCTGGATTAAATATTATAAAGTCAGATTGCACGGCATAAAATCAAGGCTGCTTCTGTGGCAGCACAGAGGCCCTCTCAGAGCCCTTGGGTGGCCATATAAATATGTGGAAAGGGAAGGATCTGAACTAACTTCTGAAGTGTTGCCTTCCACCAATGGCATCATGACCATACCCTGAAGTGTCACCACTGAGGACTGCAATGAATGCACAAACTAGAGAAGAGCTCAAGGTGCTCACTAATAGGAGGGAGAAAATGATAAAACTAGGGTGTCTTCATGTGTTTGAACTCTGCGGAGCACTGACCAAATGTGAGGATGCTGTCTTGCTGCTAAATGACTAGTGAGGCTGCTGCCAATGTCATTTTTTCCCTGTCTGCAGTGAATATGTTTCCTTCCTGGATGAGGAAGTAAGAATCCCACTTCTTGGATAGAAGGGGAGTAAATGTTGTTTGAATCATAGAATCATGCAATCATTAAAGTTAGAAAAGACCACTAAGATCACTTATTCCAACCTTCAGCCCACTGCCACCATGCCCACTAATTGTGTCCCTCAGTGCCTCATGCTCATGACTCTTGAACATCTCCAGGGACTGTGAGTACACCACCTCCCTGTGCAGCCCATTCCAATGTCTCACCACGCTTTCAAAGAAGAAAATTTTCTTAACATCCAGCTTAAAAAAAATGTGGAACACTTAACAAATTTTTGTGTCATTTACGCAACTTGTCTGCATGCAACCTCAAGAGTCATTCTCTACAATTCAAACCAAGAAACTAAACATCTAAAGAAAAACATTCACCAAACACCATCAGGAATGATGTAAGCAACTTTTAGAAGATTAGGACAAAGTACTGGCTACAACTCCAGGGAACTGTCTTTTTTTCTCCTTTTCCTATCATCATAACAATAGGCTTTTGTCAGTATCATCAGACAACAAAATGATGTCTGGACATTTTTAAGCTAAGGGTAGATAAAACCCACACTCAAAATATCAGGTATTTTTTGTACTGTTTTAACTACTTCCCTTCCCAAAATACGAAAGAAATAAATCAATACTCTTAGAGAGTATAGTTACCCTCCCAATAATAGAGTACATATAAATAAAGAGGCCCACATTTGTTAAGTGGGATTTTCTCTCTAAGAAAAATAGACATGGAAGATTTTATTTTGATATTTATAAAGCGATGGTGCACAAACTAGATGTTTGTATGTGAATGGCAGGCTGTTTGGCATAACTACAAATAGGTATTTTTAAAATTCATCAGCCAAAATACATATGTCAAACTGAGAACTGAAAATATTTATATGCATAATGGCTCTTGGGGTTAGATGTCTGCATATTACTGAAAACTGAAAATGATACTAAATTAAGCAGAGATAGATATCAGCCACTGAACAAAAGTTTAACCAGACTAGTAATACAGCCATAAGAAATGTGCTTAAGGCTGGGTGGGCAAGATTCCTCCTTCAGTATTGTCTGTGTAATTTTGGAAGTTAAAGGAGAGTTTACACTCTTGTCTTTTAGAGAAGCAATTAGGAAAATATTTTAGTCCAAAATGCTTGTGTTTCTACAGTATGTCATTTCATAATTGGTCTTGGTGTACTTAGGACTATAGTACATCTACTTGTTTTTTTGGGTAACAGGTAGCTCCATAGAGCTTCCAAGTGCTCTGGAAAAGCCAGTTTGCTGTGAAATTATGCTTGTAGGATTTTTTTTTTATTATTTATTTTATTTTTAAATCTGTGAAGTGAAGTTAGAAGAAGAAGAGCTATAGGGAGTCTGCAGTCAGGGAACTTGCGAGTTGTCTACTTAGGTTTGGTAGGGCCATGTTGGTCTACACAATATAGTCAAGAACATTTTGCTTTCATTTTTTAGACTGTGCTCATACCAAGAAGCATGCATTGAACTTTCCCAGATTTGGCACAAGAGTTGTTTACATATAGGTCAGTAGGCCCAGAATTTGAGAACTAGGAAGGAAAGTCTTTATTAACTTATTGTTTCAGAAGCATAATCAGTGGTTATATTGATTGATTGGCTATACTGATCGCACAAATGTATTAGTGACTGCCATATTCAAGATGTATAAATCTACAATCACTAGTAATGCTTGCTGATATGAAAAAGATGAATTTATTATTGTTAATATTAATATGCAGTTGCATAATATTAATTAGTAATAATTGTGTCATTAACATAACAGGAAACTTGACATGGCAAATCCAATGGCTATTGCATAGAAAGGAACTAATACAACTTCACAAAAATTTAAAACAACCTTTTTTGGCCACGTCCAATGGAGGATTTTTGTGTCACTGGAAAGAATAGGTTTTATCAACTAGGAGTTCTTGTCCTGAGATGGTGAGGGCATACATCATTGTAGCATAAGAGAAGAACCACAGCATGGTGGAAAGTGCAAAATTCCCCTTGGAACTACTAATCATAGAAAACTTTCCTGATATTGAATTTCACTGCTAGCTTCCAGCTTAAATTAGCCAGGACAAAGTTGGACAGAATCTGTAAAACTTTGAAGTTAATTTTGGACCAATTTAATGTGAACTTGGGTTAGATTAAGTTTTAAAAGGAAGCTGTGTTAAGCACAGCATTCTTCCCTGATTAAATCAGAGGAAATAGGATGGAGCAGTATACAGAAAAATGTAATCCTAGCACTGTATCTAGATTTCCTCATCCCTCTTGTTTAAGCAGTAGCATGCAATAAATTTTGTAACTGTGTGAAAGAAAGCAAAAACAGAACCACTCTATTTCTCTACACTTCTTTTGGGAAAAAAATCATTTCTTACTTGTCTTCAGTTTCATTTTTGGATGAAAAGATGCGTGGGCAGTGGTGAGTAGAGGGGCTCATCGCATCAAAGAACTGGTGCATGTAAAAAACACCTGGACTGAAAACAAGAAGTGCCACAAAGTCAGAAGAAAATTGAGGACATTGGCTTAAGTTTCTCTATTCAGTACCAAACCCTTTCTTGAAAAACCTCTTAGAAAAGGCTGGCTAATGTGTCATGAAGATTTTCACTGGGACTTGAGGTCTGTGCTTAAAATAAATGCTTTTCATGCATCATGAAAAACAGTCCTCAGTAGTCTCTTGCTTGATTAGTCTCTATGTTTTGTATTCCCGTGGTGCTGGAAGGATTACAGTCTTTTATCTACTACAAAGGTGAGGTGTTTGTATGTATCTATGTGGGCAACTGGAATGAGATGTGAGATTCATCAGGAGCATTGTAACACGAACACTGCTTTTTGAATATTTAAAAATTCGAAAGCCAAAAAGTTAACAAAATTGTAGGAAAATTTGTGTTCTTCTTTCTTCAACTTTTCAAAAGGGGATGAAAAATAACATTAAAACACATTTACTTGTCACTTATGGATCTGTTAAATAGCAAGGCTATTTACGTGAAGAGATGAGAAACCAAGCATTGTGTCAATTGTTGGTGTTTCGAAGGCTTTTAAGTACAGCATGAAAGTAAACATCCACATTTGTTAAATATGACTTCGTGTATTTCAGTCCCAGGCCCTACTTAACTACACCTCATAATTTGCTGAAGTTTAAAATGGTAATTTTTTTTTCATTTAGTGATTTATTGCGGATTCTTTCACCCTAAAAAAAGACACAAAAGCATAGAAAAAAAATTGTCAGACATCTTTGCGTATCTGCTCTCTTCATAATGATCCTTGCTTATGTTTCATGAGTTCAAAAAATGCTCCTCCTTAGTACAGATTAGACTGCCCATACACTGCTGCCCTACTTGTTACATACAGAAAAGAAAACTTCCTCATTCTGTCTGTCACAATAGGACTTTCTGGAGGTTTGCTATAAGAAAAAGATCATATCCTTTTATTTGTCCATTAGATTCAGT